TAAACCCTAAACCCTAAAGTGTAGAGTAGGGTTTCAGGGGGATCTACGAGGGCAGTGAGCAAATGTTCGGGTGCAGAGCCATGAAAACTACTTACTAGTTAGGGCTTAGGTCGTGTGGCCTCTAAACCTCGGAGCCTCTAAGCCCCTAAAACCTGGAAACCCCAAATCCTAAAATTCCTGAACCCTTCGCACTTCCGCCCTCCGTCGGCGCCGCTGCTGGCCACCTGCTAGAGGAGGCTTGGCCGGGCACACAGGGGCCTTTGCAGGTTAAATAGAACCGGGCAGATTTTTAAGAAAGGGTTTAGGAAGTTTAGGGTCTTAGAGAAGTTGGGTTTGGGCCCGTCAATGCAGCAGTACGTGGCACAGGTGCAAGAGGTTGCAAAGTAGGTTGGGGCCCAGCAGCGGGCTTTTTGAAGTGCACCCTGCACCTATGGGCACCTACACCACCCTATACCCTATCCTGACCCTATCCTCCCTTCAAACCACCAAAACCACCCTCGAAACGACCCTCTTTACCGACCCACCCGATACCTTAAAACCGACCTTGATACCACCGTGATCCTCCCTAAGGCCCTAAGCACCACCTAGACCAGCCTTCCTCACTACCCAATAACCACCTAAAGCACCCTAAAAACGACCTATACAGCACCCTAAAACCCCCTAAACCCCCTAAAAGCCCCCTAAAGGCCCCTCAAAGGCACCCTTTTCACCGACCCCTCTAAAACCGCCCCCTAAACCCTAAACCCTAAACCCTAAACCCTAAAAACCAGCACCCTAAAAAACCACCCTAAAAGCCCCTCAAAGGCACCCTTAAAGGCCCCCACCTGAAAAACCACCCTAAAAGCCCCTCAAAGGCACCCTTTTTACCGACCCCCCCCTCGGTCAAAAGCCTCATCAAGCCCATCCACAGCCTCAAAACCCTCCCAACCCTCTGAAACCCTTGAAACACTTCAACCACCCTGAACACCCACAATGGGCCCTGAACCCTGAGAGGTCACCAGGCCCTCAACCTCCAAAATGGCCTCTGATTCCTCAAAGCCACCATGATCGAATATCCTTGCGCCTGGCCCTAAAGAAACTCATGTGCTGGGTCGACCTGCTGGGAGGACTGTAGCCACCTGGCAACAGGGAATGAATTAGGAAACCAGCACATTGCTTGCTGATCGAGAGTGAATGCTGTCAGAGTGCAATGCTTAGCTCATCTTTCTCAAGCCGCATCTGGCCCTTCTTGGACGCTCACACAGACGCACACGCAACCTAGGCGAGCTTGTAGCAACGGCCCCCTTGCAAGCGGCGGGGCTTCGTCAAGAGGAATCTCGGCTTTGCTGGAGTCAAGGAGTCACCTTGGGCTGCATTGTGAACCCATGAGAAATGCATATGAACCATCATGTACTTCTTCTTGTGTTCACCATCGGTCCATGACATGTCGTTGAAATCCATGAGACTGCCAGCATTGGAGTGGTCTGCCTGCGTCCTGCTGGGAATCTTCTTCGGCAGGTAGCTGCAAGCCTCCTTCTCGTTGACCGTCACAGCGCCGTTCTCACCAATGGATATCTCGTGGCAGGGTGAGGTCACACTGCCAAAGCCACACTCCTGGAGGTAGTCGATGAACTCCTTCAGCGTTGCAAGGCCTTTGGTGAAGGGGGGTCGCCAACTCTCACCATCAGGGTGGGAGAAGCATGCAACGGAATCCCCATCTGCAAGCTTGTACGTCACGGTGTCCTTCTTGCCAGCAACCTCCTTGCCGGTGAGAAACTCGCCATGCAAATCCATGAGGGGAACATCCGTATTCAGAACTCCGTCGCTCTTGGCATGCAAGTACATTGCATTCTTGGCCGAGAAGACAAGCTCAAACAGCTCAGGCATCTGGGACTGAATCACAGTCACATGCCCATCTGTCGCCTTGACGTTGTCCAAGCTCTCGAAGCAATCCTCGTCCGCGAACGGCTCCCCCTGAACTTCCTTCTCACTGGCTGTCTCTGTGCGCTTGCCTGCTCCTTTGTAAGGAACTCCTGAAGGGTTGTGCTTCTCATTGTGCTTCTTCTTCAGTGCTTCGTATGCATCCTTGAGCTTGCTGAATTTTCCATCGTACATATCCAAGACTTCTTGGCGGAATGACAGGTGCTTGCCTTGCACTGGAGCTGTAAGCACATACTCACGTGTGTCGTAAGTGGGAGCAACTCCCTCTGGGGAAAAGTCTTTCAGGACCAGGTTGGGGAGCTTTAGCACGCCCTCCTTGATGTACTTCTCCGTCTGATTGTCGGCAGCCCTTCTCAACCAGTCTGCCATTTTCACTCGCTGGCTGGGATCATCTGCGTACGCCCACAGCCCACTGATGACTGCCTCGCGAGGCAGACGGCCACTGGGCTCCATTGCTCTCTGCAAGCATGCTTGAGTGAGCCCGTGGTCGTACGGGAGCAGGTTGGCATAAACTGCCACAGTGAAAGGGCCAGGGGCAAGTCCTTTCCAAAGACCCTCCAGCACCTTCAGCCAGAGGTCTGGGCCGCTGATGTGCTGCTTGTACTGCTGGGCCTTGCTGAGATTGACGGTGTTCAGCTGGATGGACACTCCCTGTGCTGGGTTCACAAAGTCAGCAACAGCTTTGGCCTGGATTCCCACACAGGCACGGTGATGCCACAGCGAGCCATTGGCAAAGCGGCTGAGGAGCTTGCCATTTGCATCTGTGGCCTTGTTTACACAGAGCCACATGGGATGCACAAGGCTCCTCTTTGTGGAGCCGAACGTCTCCGGAGCGAAGCAAAGCTGAGCTCTCTTGACATTCATGTCATACGTGTCTTGCCGCAACTGCTGCTCCACATCGTCCTGGGATTTCTCGACAGACTCGTCGTCGTAGGTGTTGCCGTAGGAGGCTACGTTCGGCCCCACCACCACTGCTACACTCCTGCAGCTGCTGAAGGCTTCAAAGTCAGCAACACAATGCACGTCAACACAACTGCATAAGCACTGCATTCTATGAACGCGGTCCTCTCTGCTCCAGCAGCTAGGCCATCTCCCAGAATGCGGCAGACGCGCGCGAGGTAGCGCGAACAAGAAGATCCGAGGGATGTCAAGTCTGCGACGTAGATGTAATGGATCTCATCGTGCGACTTGTTCTCTGTGTCCGCCCAGTCGGCGCTGTAACTTCGGATGTACGGCATGACAGCATCCTCCCCCGGAAGGGCCTTGCAAGGGAACTTCTTATGGGTGTAAGTCGCGACCGCCTCCTGAGAGCACCGGGCGAAAGTATTCAACTGCGCATCATCTACCGCTACACCCTAATTGAAGCCCTTGGCCCAGTCCTTCAGCTTGGCATCCTGTTCACGACGGAAGCTGCTTCTGGCATCTTTTTGCCCATTGTTGAACTCCTTCAAGGACTCTTGGTATCTCTCCCACAGCTTGACCTCCCTCTCCAGCTTCACAGTGAACAAGTTCAAGGCGGCCGTCTCTTGCTGCTCCTCTGCCAATGCCTCCTTGTCCTGAAGCTGCTCCGGCGCAACCGCCACACCGGTATACACTTGCAAGAAGCGGAAGTTGTCCAAACCAATGTCCCCATCCATGAGCCTGCATTTCTCCTGCAGC